CCACCTTCCTGGTCCTACGTCCTTCCCTGACCGTCCCACCTACCAACATACGCTACTTCCCAGCCCTTGCTCTATGTGATTCCTTTCACAAGTGTGCTATCACACATTGCCCTCAGACCATCACAGATGGACTCTCTCCCTAGTGTGAAAATGGTGCTTTCTGTTTGCTAGGGAGCCAACTAGTACTTTAGGACAGACTGAGTGCACTAAGAGAACTGCAGTCCAGAGTCCACACATGACTAAACTCCATAAAGGTCTAATTCTAACCTGACCAACAGATGCAGCAAATTCAAGAGAACTATTTTGCGGAATTCTTAACTTCATGAACTCAATAAGAAACCTAGAACCAGGGCCCTCTCTTGTGGCACAACAGGTTAGAATGCAGCACTGCAAGCTGGCTGCGGCCACGTCAGTACCAGTTGCATCTCCGGCCCCGGAAGTGACCACATGGCGTGGCAGACCTCTCCTGACCCCTCCACTACTCAGCAGTGTACTTCGTCAATATGCCTGTTCTGCTCTCCACTCTGTCTCTGGTGAAGCCTCTCACTGTCCCTACACCTCTGGCTTGTACCCCAATTCTATATGAATAAATAAATCTTAAAAAAAAAAAAGAAAACCAGAATCAATAAAGGATTTTGAACTTTTGAGTTTTTAACAGATGGACCTCAGCTTAAAAAGGTCATCACACCACTAAAAGGACTAAAATTATCTTCCTCAAGAAGCCTCTCAGCTGTGAGCCCGCAGAGGGCACAGCCACACTTTCTGACCAGAGGATGTGGTAAAAGCTTCCCCTGCAGCGTGGACAGCCCACGCTTCTCCAAGTGTTCTGACAATTGCATGCAAATTAACATAGAAAAACAGTAATAGCTAACACTTGTGGAGAATTCACTACATACTCTAGGACTGTTCTTCATGACTTCTGATTATGGAAATATCATAGGAAAATGAGTATGTTGATTGCTTCCTAACAGTAAACAAATCTATAAACTAAACTAATATCTAGTCATTGAAAAAGACTATGAATAATGGTAATTGAGGAAATGCTATGGCATGTTAAGTATCATGAGGACAATTATACCTGCAGGATAATCAGAGCTATGTTAAAATGTACACAAAAACACACCAAAACTGTAAGCTGTTGTCAGTTCTTGGCAGCAGGGCCATGAGTGATTCTTTTCCTTCATTATTCTATCCTGGTTTTGTTGTTTTCTTTTCAAGAGTTAAAATAGGACTATTTTATAGATAAGGCCAATTATCTGACAAAGCAAATTCTGAAGAAATAACAGAAAATGTACTGCCGACAGCAGCCCTGGAGAGCCTGAGCTCACTCATAGCTGGGCAGGAAGCGATGAGAGACAGCCCCCTAGGGAGACAGGGCAAGGAAAATCATGTGTGAACAGGGTGTCGGGAAAGATATTTTTTAAGAGGCCCTACATTGTGGTCAAGAAGTGTTTGGCTATTTGGGTGATTATTTTCCTGTATGACAGCAACAGAGAAAAAGCTAGCAAGATTCCACAATGAGGAAGATAACTTTGAATTATGTGAGCATTTATGAACATTTGTATCATGAGGGAAAATAACTTTGAAACTTTGGCCCCTTTTCCTGGCACCTCACAATCCCCATGCCAGAGCCTGCAGGAGCAGAGAACACAGGCACTAGACAGTGACTGAAAGTGAGAATGTCAGATTAAAAAAGTCCACCTGAGAAAATAATAATAATAATGAACAGCTATAGACCAGAGACAATTTATGGGGGTGGAGTGAGGAATGGGATCAAAAACAGTGGGGGGAGAGAAATGCACTGGACTATGGTGATGGCACAGGGTGATTTGGTGATGGGAAGCCCACAGGGAGTACAACTGAGATGAAAAAATGCACAAAATGATATAAAAATAAACTATTATATATTAAAAAAGAAAAAAAATGTCCACCTGGGCCATCCCTGGTGGCGCAATGGGTTAAAGCACAGCACTATAAAGCTAGCACAGCCGCTTCAGCATAAGTTCGATTCCCAGCCAGGGAGGTGACCCATATGGCATGGCAGACCTCTCCTGACCTGCCTGCTGCTCCCCTCAGCAGTGTACCTCGTCAGTCTGCCTGTTCTGCTCCCCACTCTGTCTCTGGTGAATCCTCTCACAGCCCCTATGCCTCTGGTCTGTACCCCAGTTCTGCATGAATAAATAAATAAATCTTTAAAAAAAAAAATCTGCCTACTTGACAAGGAAAAGGCTATAGGAACACTTAGTAAACAAAAATGAACATGATAGCCTCATATAATTTTCTTCCAACAGACTCCATGAAATGAAATATGGTCCAAGATGACCAGATGTCCAGTCACACTTCTGGAAAGCTTGAAGTTGGAGCTGGAGGTAAATAAACAGACTGCTCTATTACTAAATTTGCTGGAATACATGTTAAGTCAGAGGAGGAGGAGAAAAATACCAACTGACCCTTGGTGGTATGATTTTTTTCTGTAGGCCTTTAAATCAAAAATCAGATGTCATTTTTGTTTTGGGTTGTTTTGAGTGTATGTACATAATGCATAGGCATAGGAAAAAAGATTAGAAGTAAACAAACACAAATATTCAGAACATTATTTTTTTCTCTTAGGTAATGGAATTATGTGTGACATTTATGTTCCTCTTTCTTGTTTATGTGGATTTATTATTTACATTTACATTTCATTATTTACAA